TAAAAAAATATAAATTCACTTTTATATATAATTTTATTTTTTTATTTTTAATAATTAAAATTTATCTTAAACTTTTATATAAAAAACAATTATTTTTAATAAATACAATAAAAACATATAAATTTTAATTATTAAAAATAAAAAATAAATCACTAAAATTTTATAGCACATTTAGATTGAAAAAAAATAAATAAATGAAGAAAATTTTTTTGATTTAATTATAATTTTTTTAAAAAATTTAATTTATTTATTTATTTAAATTTTTCCTCCCTCCCACTCCCCTCAATTTAAATATAAAGTTACTCTTGAAAAATTTATGTCATCCCAATAATTTTTTGTATAATCAGAACGATGCCCTCCTTTATTGCTATAAATAGCTGCTAGTCCTACACGCCCACCACTTCTGCCCCGAGTGTCACCGAGAACCGGGCCAATGCAGCTAAAAATCTGTTTTCTTATATTCCCCGTCTCTCTCCTCCTTCTCTCCCTTGCTTGCTCCGGCGACGGAGCTACTGTCGGAGGATGGCAGCCGATTAAGGATCTGAATGACTCACACGTGAAGGAGATCGCCAAGTTTGCGGTGTCAAGAGTTCAACAAGCAGTCAAATAAGAATCTGAAACTGAACCGCATCGTCAAGGGAGAGCAACAGGTTGTTTCGGGTGTGAAATACCGGCTGACTGTGAACGTGAAAGATGGTGCAGAGAGTAAGAGTTACGAGGCTATCGTGGTGGAGAAGACTTGGTTGAAATCCAGGCAACTCATCTCATTTAAGCCTGCTAATTAATTAGACTAAATTAAGTAATGATATAAGTGGTTTGAAAATTTATTATATTAATTTTTAGTCATATGTTTTAAAATTTAAGGGACCTTTCAAATTTTAAATATTATATTAATCATTGAAAATTCCAAATAAATAACTTAGAATTAGTGAAACATTTACACCAATTGTCTATAAAAATTGATGTTAAGTGTACACACTAACATAAAATTAAACAACATTTAATAATATGATTCAAACTTGAGCCCTAAAGTATCAAGATTTTTTTATTTTTATTTTTAGGTAAAATGTGAATTTTATTACCTATAATACCAAAATTCATATACAAAGCAGCACTAGCTTTACAAGGCTGATACCAAATCTAATTACAAAAAATCAGCAAGTCGAACTTCAAGAATCAATCTCTTCCTCCCAGACACAATATCTTTAAACCCCAATTTGAGGCAATACTCAGTGACATTGGAGAGGCTTTCGTCTTAAGAAACCCCATCAAATGATCTCAAACATCAGTTTGAATGTCACTTAAAAGGGCATCACCAGATCGAAAAGCACCTTATGAAAACGATTATTCCTTTCCCTCTAAATATGATAAATTACTACATTCCAAGATTTTTATTTCAATAATAATTAAATTAAAATTTTATAAATAATAAGGTCACTTTCCTTTACACCAAAAAAAGGTTAAAACCCCTTTTTGATCCCTGAACTATTGTACGGACCCTCGATTTGGTCCCTAAACTAAAAAAATCTCTAATTTGGTCCATACTGTTTACCATTTTTACCCCGATTTGGTCCTTCCGTCAAATATCAACCTACGTGTCTCGTTACTTGACGGGAAAACGATGACATGTACAAGCATTTTGACACCTAGGATGTACAAATTGCCAAAAAAAATGAGATGGCAAGAAAAAAATCTTAAAAATTTTCTTATTCCTTTTTTTTTTTCTTCGTTTGTTTTTCCTTTTTCCCTTTCTTCTTCCTCTCCTTTCCTTTAACCTTCTGCAAACCCTAACTCTTAATATTAAATTCGAGAATAACACAACAAATCAACAGATTAAACTCAATAGATACTTGACCTAACGGCTACTGGGTTCGAAACGAAACCCAGAGCCTCACTTGCAAGAACCCAGCAGCTGCTCAAACCTAGCACCCGCTGGGTTTGAAATGAAACCCACCGCCTACTGGGTTCGATTTCGAACCCAGCACCTGCAAAAACCTAGCGGCTGGTAGGTTCGAATTGAAAAATCGAACCCAGCACCTACACAGGAACCCAGCAACTGCCTTACCTTGCCTTCCTCATCTTCATCAACCAATTTTTCATCACAATCAAACAACAATATCCAAAAAACAACTTCATCACAATCAACCAATTTTTTTAATTTTTTGCACCTGGGTTCGCAAGGAACCCAGGCGCTGGGTTCAATGCGAGCCCAGGCAAGCGTCCTTGCGAACCCAGCACGCTTGGGTTCCTTGCGAACCCAGGCGCTGGGTTCGCAAGGAACGCGAACCCAAGCAAACGTCCTTGCGAACCCAGCATGCTTGGGTTCCTTGCGAACTGCGAACCCAAGCAAGCGTCCTTGCGAACCCAGCGCCTGGGTGGGTTCGCAAGGAACCTAGGCCTGCTGGGTTTCGAGGGGAAAGAGAAGGGAAAGGGGAAGGAGAAAGAGAAAGGAAAAGGAGGAGAAAGAAAAGAAAAAAAGATAA